GTTGAAATTAAAGTTATATTACACGAAAATAAACCAGTTTTATTTAAGAAAGGACTTGTGTCGCTAAAGTTTCGTCGGAACGAATTTATGGAAAATTAACTAACGAACGGAAACGTAACATAACCATTGATCATGGCATTAAACAACTTAAAAGCCCTGGTACTTGCAACTTATCAGTGGGAACAACTTCACTCTACAACGACCGGGGTGATTCTGAGTTCAACAAATACAGTTCTGATCTGATATACTAGTTTTGTTTTAAACTATGTGCAGGTTCGATTTCTACCAATACTTCTCAAGCAGCCTCGCCACACACACTCATCTGTCAAAAGATTAGTTACCTTATCGAAAACAACATTTTCCATTAATCTATATCCGTAGGCACACCTGCACTAATCCCGATCATATTTGATAGCCTAAGTGAGAGACTAATATCATTCCCAGATGTTTACATCCTGTTTGCAGAAATCTAACTAAACACAGGCAATCTTAGCTGAACCTTTGAAAAGTTTTACCCGAATAAGCTTTATTAAAGCTACTTTCGTGTTTGTTTGTTTTTCAGTTATGAAAGGTTTACAGTTTTAATTATTCACACTCGCAAGTGGATGATGAACCCATGGGAAGTTAACGAGATCTTCTGTGCAATCTTTAAATCTTTCCTCCAATGTTAATGAAAAACATAACATTTATTTGCTCTTATCAACTTTAGCTTCATATTATAAAACACATTAAAACATAAATATTCCATAATATGTATATAAATCTATACATAACTACCTACCCAGAAACTTACTAACATACAAAAGTATACTAAGATGTATGCACGTACACAAACATATATACATACATTTACAGGTTACCAACATCTGACCGAGAACCTTTCTGACCAGTTTTGTATGAAAAGAACCCAATACTTTGTTTTGTACTGGGCCTTTGTTTTTTAACGTTACTGTGAAAATGTAAGGAATTGTTTAGGTCAAACTATTCAACACTTAGGAAAATTGTACAGGTTCTTAACTTGTACTAAACAGATGAAATAGCATTACTTACGTATAGTTAAATTTGTTCACAGCAACCGACAAGTGACGTGGAAACTGGGGGCAAGAATACATGTTCCGATCGTCCTCTGGGATCATGTCTACGTCATGGAAAACAAAACAATGATAGGCTGCTTCTTTAAGAGACTCTCGAACCCCAGCGTTCATCAAGACCCCTTTGTTGAAAGTATCATTTCCGTACTAGGAAACGAAAACACAGTTTTATATAATACTATAGCATTGTTAAGTAAACCATTTACCAAACGTCTATTATAATATTACTCAGTTTTGTCTGTCCTGAAAATGCGCGTGCACCTTACTATCTAAATGCGCATGCGCGCGCACTTCATTTCACCGAATGTAAATATACTTTAGTAAAAATTTTGTACAACAGCATATTAAAAGCTTATCAAGTTTTTTGTTTGTTTTTTAATTTCGCGCAAAGCTACACGAGGGTTATCTAGCCGTCCCTAATTTAACAGTCTAAGACTAGAGAGAAGGCAGCTAGTCATCACCACCCACCGCCAAATCTTGCGCTACTCTTTTTATCAACTAATAGTGGGATTGACCGTCACATTATAACGCCCCTACGACTGAAAGGGCGAGCATGTTTGGTGGGATTGGGATTCGAACCCGTAACCCACAGATTGCGAGTCGAGCGCCCTAGCCACCTGGCCATGCAGGGCCATAAGCTTATCAAAGCGTTTAAAAAAGTCTAATGTTAGGTCGTAGAATAAAATTATAAGTTTATTTATTGATTAGTATTAAGCACGGTAAAGCAAAAAAAGAAAAACGTATCAAAAGTATGGTGTTAATTTATCTCTTTATCGAATATAGGCCGTACCTAATAAAGGCTTAACTAATATTAGGCCTAATACAAATAGGCTTATAGATTCTGATGTCTGCGATTAGAATTACTTTGTATTACCATAGAAATCCTTTATTTAAAGAAATACTGTTGCAACAGATACACTAATTTGACAGTAAATGTTTTTGTTTTGTTTTTTGCGGATTTCTGCTAGTTAGGTATAATTCGTAAGAAAAATGTCAGAAGTATCGGTATCAAAATATTGTTACGTATCTGTTTGTTTGTTTGTTTCCAGTAGAAATTCTTTCCGAGGATCTTT